TGTTCCTTCTGGTCGGCCATCTCACTAATCGCCAAAGGGTTGAAACAGGAACGCACACAACAGAGCACCACAGATAAACCACTTAACTCAGACTGACGCCAGCTCACTAACAGTCGCGGGAGACCCCCAGCTAACATCACCTAGCAGCATAACTCGTAACTACAAAGCATGCGCGCGCAACAGGTTGTTTCCGGTTATTTTTGGGTCCCCCCTCGTATATATGTGTGTGCATATGTAGGTAAATAACTCTGTGCGTGTATGACAACAAACTGAAATTATAAATAAGCAGAACTAATTAAAACAAACCTAGAATAAAATGTAAAATGGAACAAGATAGGACAAAGAAAATAAAAAAGCAGTGCTATTCAACAATGATGGCAGAAGACTAATGACCAGGGCCCGGATTTTGATGACATGAAAATATTAAAAAAATTACCTATAAAATGACCGAAAAAATACAGAAAAATAACCTAAAGGAGAAAAGAAAGAACACTTCGCTTCCATGTTATTCACAGTTCAGAAAACATATGAAGAAATATTCCCTAAAATGGCCAAAAATGACAAGAAATACCCTTAAAAGTCCAAAAATTTACCAAAAAATTACCCCCAAATGAAAAAAATGCCCTTAAACCTAAAAATGTCAAAAAATGACAAAAAATTACCTATAAAATTTACATTTCTGTAACCAGCAGCTCATATCTGAGATTTATATATTTAGGAGCATCACATAGGGTACAAGGAAAAAAAGATGACATGTCATCAAAATCTGGGCCCTGCTAATGACTAATGACCACCTCTGATGAGTACTGATAACTGCAACAACAGAGATGACACTAGACTTCAGTACAGCAATTAACACACATCTGAACAATCATTCTTTCTGTTAATTAAATTAACTTGCTATGTTTTCATCAACAACCTGGATGTCTAATGAAATATAAGTAAAAAAGGAAAGGTATCCCTGTAACAGGCTGTGGAGGACCATAGAGTTGTGAGATATTGAGGTTCCCACATTTTCTAGACAATCAGCTCATAGATGGCGGTGAGGTTGTCAGCCTTATGCGCCGGCCGCCCTTTACCCCCAAGAACATTCCAAGAATATTCCTGGTACTCATTTCTGTTGGAGGCTGAGTTGACCCCAGGGCCATAGTGCAGCTGGAAGGACTATGTAAATTGAAAAAAAATCCAATGACCTTATCAGCATTCGATCCTGCGACCTTCTGGCTTGTAGCATAGTGCCTAAATTCAGAAAGTAATTGATTCATGTAATTTTCTTTGAGTGGTTACTGTTTACGGACTAGTAAATGTCTGCCATAGGATTTTGGCATTTTTTTAACTCATGTTTGCTATTTACCCATGATTTTCTGAGTACCAGCAGGAGACCTAAAATTAACACTTAAAATTGTCACATGAAGGTTACCTAATCTGGTGATATGGAAAGCCAGCCAAAATATGTGCTCACCTTGGTCTATCAAGTGGCTGAAAATAAATGAACACTACGTAGTTAAATTAAACTAACAATGTGGAAGCACTACCTCATGCAGTATGACCACGATATTACTTGCTATTGCAGCCCACTTACCTGTTCTGAAGCAGAGGCTGGGAGAGGAAGGCCTGTCAGTTCTTTAAGATTAGCACTTGTATCCTTTACCAGCTGTTGCGTATAATGCTGGATCTGGTGTCTGGAAACACATTTATACAACTGCAATAACTTCCTGAATCTAAACACAAACATGAATGTTATTAAGGTTATGCAGAGCAAGAATTATATAGCAAATTCTTCCTACCATTTGGTGTGAAATCTTTAAAAATTCTACAATATAATGAACTTTCACTCCATCATACTGCTTTCTCACTTATAATAATATATAATCATTCTTGCTAGCCAAGAAGTAATCCACAAGACTGTCAAAGCTCTTACTTGGCAGCCATATGGGGAATTCACTATATTGCTGAATGAAACTAAACCTTATCAACTGGTTAGTACAGAGAGTTCTTTAAACAGGTGTCTGAGTGTAAGCTGACACTGACAGTAACTTCTGCTGAAATCTGCAAAATTTAGAATCAACATATTTGAGATATGTGATGCAGTAACTGCCTATTTATTTCATGACACTGTCATCATTACATGGTAAATATAGTTCAAGTAAAACTTTTCCCATAAAAGTTGCACAGCAGTAAGAAAAAATATAATGAATATCAGTGTGCTAGTGCAAGAAGTCCTGCTTCATATCTGAAAGGTCATAGGTCTGAATCTTGTTTTTGAGTTCACGTACTCTAAGAAATATTTTGTTATTTCCCTCAGTCCTTCCCAGGAAAATGTTGGAACAGTACTAATATAGGTTGCAACTGCAGCCTTTCAAATTCTTTATTCACAATCATCCTGCTGTGCAGTGTTGCACAATTTGTGTGACTTAATATTAAACAAATCAGCAGACAACAAATACATGGATATGTGTATCGTCACTGTTGAAAGAACAGAGACCCATGTGATCAATGATTAAAAATAAAATAATGAGCAATAATAATAAAAAAATAAGGTACTCTACTTTCTCCCATATTACAATGAAACCTTGACTTAGTGTTCCTGCACTGGGTGAATACTTTCTATGGCTCCAGCCAAAGCCCAGTATTTGCATTTAAGTTCATAAATAACATACCCTTAGCACAAAAAAAAATGTTAATGCTTTGATGTTTGATGTACCTTGATTGAGTGCAACTGTGACCAAAATGATGAACTGTAGCCACTATTTGCTCTCTGCTGGAAATGACTCTCACACTACTGTTTATTTCACATGTCATTAAATATTTCACAACCTAGTTTGATATTATTTGGCAAGCAATTAATAAAGTTTGATGTTACAAAATAAATATTGTGTTACATTATGCTACAGTATATTATGTTACAACTTACAATTGATTTCGAAGATCTTGCGAGTCCTGTGGGGTGCCCAGCTGGTTAACCATTTTCTGCATTGATGATACTGGAAAATGTTGTTTTACATTATTTAAACATTTCATGTATGCAAATACAACTTTAAGTTGACAGAATCATTTAAATATCCAGCAATTTAAATCTTTTTAAAAACAGCTGTCACACAAGAAGCCTGACAAAAAATTAATGTTACAAACAGTAAAACTGCCCAGAAATATAACTACAGAAGGAACCATGCATTATTTATATAAAATCTTATATCTGCAAACTTCGTATGTGAATTAACATTTGTGTACTGTTCCTCCATTACCCACTTTAAGTTTTCTTCTCTGAGCACAGTGGTAGCCCCCGCCCCCCCATTTCACATTAACCCTTCAGTGCCAGGCTCAGTACATTGCACACCAGCGGCTTCTCTCACATGTCGCTGGAGTCAGTATGGGGCACGCGTATTGCGGCACTAAGTTTCAGCTTGTATTTTGAACCGTTGTTTTTCATGTAAAGTAATTCTTTTGGTACAAAATTAAAGAGGAAATTTGGGGCTATCATTTCGTATATTCGTTGTCCCACTTTGAACTTCCCGTGGGGGTTGTAATACATTTGAATTCTTTGAAAAAGTTTTCTATTTCAACACTTGGTGCACTTGTTACCATACAAACCTACCTCTGCCTAGGGGAATTCTTAAGAACTAAATATCAATACTGTGTACTCTCCTCTATCGTGATCAAATGAAAAGTTGATTCTCTTGAGGCATATTCTCGTGCTGCTTCAACATTGGTATTTGTAACTACAAAAAGACATGTGGAGAATCTATGACTTTGAGACGCGATGTTGACTCTAAGAAGTGTGTTATGACCGCTACGATAAACAGTTCACTATATGACTAATACCACTGTAATCCCCCTTTGTTCTATAAATACGCATCATGCAGCCTGGTTAGTCAAGGCCAGCCGCAAGGAGCAAAGTGGCCAGCTCTGTTGTGTCATGACCAGTGGAGAATATATTTACTTCAAACCGAATCAGAACACAGTTCTATCTGATTCGAAATTAGACACTGAAAATGGATGTTTTTGCTTTTCTCGATTCTGTGGTAAATGACAGAATTGAGAATAGTACAGACATCCATTGGGAGAACATGCAAAACTATAACGGGCAAAAAGGAAATTACTGAATGCGATGATAATATGTAGGAATAACACAAGGAAAAGAATAGATCAATTGTCAATCAGAATTCAGTTAACTGAGGGACACTCTGTGAAATATGATAATGCTGTAGAACACAAAGTGCCAGGTCGATATTCATCAGACAAAACAGCGTCCTGTCTAAGAGAAAGAAATTTTATAAGCAAGATTCCACCAACTGCAAAGAAATCAAAACCAAAGAAACAGCATGTTGTGTATAAAAAATTGTGTAAGGGTGGCACACGTGTGACATGGGACTCTGTGTGGAATGTTTTCACAATTAACACACCCAGCTGAACTTCTAAGGTAATAAGATACTATCATTCCTCATTTTTACAGGCTTACTGTGCCAAAAAAAATAATTTAAAGCAGTGTTGATCAATACACCGATTCTATATACATTTCTGAATGTACTGTGAAAATTAGAAAAAACAAAACACCAGTTTTTCCCAATTTATTACACTTTAAGTGAAATGTTGTGCTCTCCGATCTAAAGGTTTAAATACCCTCTGGCACAAGAGTTGAGTATGAATTTAAATGCCTGCCAGCAGTGAAAGGTTAAGCACTGTATAATTTGTAACATAATTATCATATTACTTGTTTTGGATTCATGTTAGTGTTTTCTGAAATAGTCTGTACTTACAAAATACAAAGTATAAAGAACTACATATGATATAAAAGGATTCTTCTGTGAAATGTAACACAGTCTTTGCCGAACTCTATACTGAGTGCTCTGTATTGCTGTACTTGCAAGCTGTCTCTGCTACTGACACCAGAAAGTGAAGTCTGCCTCAATGTTGTGTACTGCAGCTGTTACGACAAGCTAGACTCATGACACTCCAAGCAGTTAAGCCACTGGCATACTTTGACAACTGAGGGACACCTAACCTTTCTGGCAGTGTTCATCACCTTCAGAACTACACAAAGTTACCAGATGAAAGTCTAAGCAGTGAATAACAAATGCAGCAAATGCATACAGATTTTAGTATGTGTTACTAATTTTATACAAGTACTTTAAGTGGAGAAACTTGAGCTGTATGCTAAGGGATTTACATAATATAGTCTGCCTCTGGTTAAGCTTGATAAGCTGGGATATTTCAGTCAGTAGAGCAATGGCCTACAAGCTGGATGGCTGGGATTTGATTCCTGGCAGAGGCAAGAGACTTTTCTCTTCCCCACAGAGTTCAGACTGGCTCTGGGGCCCACCCAGCCTCCTACTGAATGGATACAAGGAGCTCCTTCCCCAGGGAATAAAGCAGCTGGAACATATAGCTGACCATTCACCTCCATCTAGTGACGAGGTGAAGAATAATGGAGCTATAACTCTACGCCACCGTATGTCTTTATGGTGTTGTGCTTAATTAATTAAGCACAGGGGCAACTTTACCTCATCTAGTCAAATTTGGCTCACATGTCAATGACAAATATCATAGCTAAGTTAACACAAATGGCAAACAACACTACAGAAATAACTAATATGCATGTGTAATAGACTGTACACAAAATAACAACAGTTAACGCCAAGAAACCACCTCAGCTTCAATACTTAATACAGTTGTGCTACATACAGAACTGTGAATTATTAATTATTCACAGTTCTACCTTATTTCAGGCACCATTTAGAGCAGTACTTCGACCTTGAACGTACACACGTGCTTCATGTGATTGGCTTACCATTTTGTGATATTTTCTGAATACTGGTTCCAACTGTCTGTGCAAGTTTCTGGAAATCCTTTTCCCTTCCTGGCCCACCATTATGGTATGATGAAAAACTATAGCTCCCTTCCATTATCTGTTACTATTCTGCGGGGTTGGCGTCTAAGTCTGGCATAAAAGAAAGCACACAAACCAACTTTAAAACTGCATAAATAGGCACACGTAATTAGGCTACACTTCCCTGAAATATGGCTTCAGCTATTCTCCTAAAATTGACATATGTAATATGGACGATTTCAATATTCGACTAAGAACCGTCTTGTCAAAAGACTTAACTTACTTGTGACAGCTACCTATACTACAATAACGTAACTGGATGTAGGTTGGCTATCTCAGACGACGCATAATGACTTGACAACAATTAGAAATGAAACGCTGACAAATTAGATTTATCAAACTAAATACGGAATACACAAATCTATTTCCGCGTGGACGGGAAAGTGCGATAAAGTAACTGAACTACTTTACCTGTCACTGCTATTGATTACTGAATTTCCGGAAAGATTACCATGCCACAGCCAACCTACGGTAAATTATACTTTCCCAGTGTCAGTGCCTGATAGTCCCTGCTCCATCTCCAAGAGTACAAGATTTGAAATACGTTGGTTGCACTGGTGCATGAACAGAGGCATCTATCGGTCACAATGAGAACTGTTTCAAAGTACCATGGACTCTTAGCGCACGTAGAATGGTTATTGTATGACTTGCAGAGTAAGGTTTTTCTTAAACTGTACGTATTTTAAGGTTTATTTACTATGATAATGTCAGGGATATATATTTCCATTATACAATGTTCTCTTTTTTACCCCTACGACACTGCGTAATGATGGCTTTTTGTATTCAATCTGTGAAATTGAACGAAAAGTCACGTGCCTCCAGTTGTTTACATTATGATAGATGGAGAGATAAGGCGTACGGCGATGCTAACAGACATATTTTTGCAGTTTTTCGTTGCGATTGCGTTGGAAATATCTGAAATCTTGTCAGGCCTCTTAACCTTTAAACGCCGGGCTTTTGAAATGGTGGTAAGCTTGAGCTGGCAGGAGTTTATTTAATGTAGGTGAAAGCTAACAAACTTATATTTTTGAAAGAAAATTTATTTTTGGAATTTCTCTTCAGGAGAAAACATGAGTCACAAAAACTGGGACATCAGTTCTTAGTCATTCTTTACCAGGTTTATTACACAAGATTCGTCCAGAATGAAAAATTGTAGTAGAGAACTGAGTTTCAGGCTGCGATCTGAGTGCTTAACGTGACACAACGGACATGAAATCTCAATATGTGCGTATAAGTAAAATATATTACAGTCATAAAATGAATTGCTTTCCTATTCAATTATATAGACTGTTCTCATGTTCCTTTGATATTGTCACGAGTTGCTGTATGTGACAAGACAAATAACTTCACGCCGGTCTTGGATCTAGCGAATTTATTGCACACTTTTATCCACACTTACATACACGTAAGTCACAACTTCAGTATCCCAATTACTTCTAATGCTGTAATCACTTCATATCTTGATTCTGTTCACTCGATACAACTCAACAACTCATACTGAATAGTGTTCGCTGCTCCTTATAGAGGCTCAGCACGGATCACATAGAAAACGAATTTCTGCTTGGAAACAGATATCAGGTATTGTTGTCAGGCGTGTTTACCAAGCGTCACTCAGCAACGGGATGAGTGGAGGTATGTGACGTCACTCTCACTTTCTGTTGCGCCATCCAAGCCTTCACAGAGTTGTCGCCTAGCAACGCGCCGATACAATCCGCAACTCTCACGTTGCGCGCATGCCCCGAGGCCTCTGTGGCTCAACAGTTCCTGCATAGAGCCAATACGCCACAATATTTAACTTTTTTTTTCTATGAAACATCCTTCATTATTTACAAAGAAAAACATGTTCATCGGCAATACATTACATTATTGGGCAACAGAAATCCCAAACGGCACCTTAACCTACTGTTGCATCCTCCGTAGTATGTCCTTTATTTTCTCTTGCATAGATTATGGGGGTTCAGGCTTTAATATTACCAGTTTTTGTACAGTAAATATAATGAATATTACTTCTTTGTGTATGCAATGATCTGTACCGATAACATGACTCAAAGTAGACCTATACAGTAAAAGAACTTAGAATAAAAATTTTCGCACAAAATTGTATACATTCATTTGTCGATAGAATCGATTTTGGAAGCTGATAGTCTGCTCCAACCGGTGGAAGTGTAAGATTATTCGAAAACAACCATACGAGGTAAGCAAATATTATAACACGTTAGTTCTTAAATTAATTTCTATGATACTGTCACGTGATCGAGTGACTATAGATGAGGTTTGAACTGCTAATCGGAATTACTGAACACTTACAGATCGTAAGTACAAGTAACTACGGAGCTATCGCTAATTCGCTACAGCAAGCACTAAATCTTCTCAGTCTGCAATTTCTTCATCGGTTGTCTGGAAACAGCTTCAAACACCGCAGATTCCTCAGCTTCAGTATTTACTTCCTTACTGGTCCGCGACTTTCTCACAACGCTCACAACTAACTCGGTGTTACTACGCAACATCTTACATCAACTGGGGAACCTCCACCTTCCACACCTCCACCAGAGCGACCGCCTACGACTACCTCCGATGGGTCTGTCTCCCAACTGATAACTGCAGACTCACTACTCTCTCAAGACTGACTAGCTTGGTTTCGATTCCTCAGTTTAGCCTCCTCACGGACCTACCAAAAAACATATTTTATTGCAATTGTGATATTTCACAGTCACGCAGCCACGGGTGCAAGCGGCACAGAAAACACCGCTTCTGACAGTTCTTCTATTATTGCCAGAATAATCGTTGCTACGCTGACGTAGAGTCTACCGAGTCGTAACCTGGTAACGGACGTCTCTTCCGGTTAACCAGCTTTCACCCGACATGCCACAATACGAAAATTTAGATATTTATTTATATAGATTAAATTTATTAGATTTATCATCTTTAAAGGCATCGATTTGCAGCCCTTATTTGAATAGTTTATTTCCTCGTGTCTCAAACAACTTCAAGGAAATAGCGGCTCCGGTCTAGAAAACCGAGATTAAAGGCCGAGGGGATCCGCTGCGCTGACTACGTGACGCTCTCTATCCGCAAAAATTGGCACTAACTTCACCGACAAGCGGCGGTCGCTCGGTCGATATAGTTCGCTTGAGGACTACAGGTCACGGAGTTTGTTTTTTCTCATGTTTATTACAGTCATGCTTTAGAATACTTCATATTACATACATTACCAAATAGAAGGCGTCACCGTGATTCAAAGGCCTTCATTCAAATATACTTGGGTTCTAAATTCTGTTCCTCACTTCTGAAAGCTGCTGAGGTTCGAGCTAACGCTCGGGGTATCAGAGATTTTTTATGTTCAATCTCTACTCTTTCAGGTAAAATGTGTCCTTCTGCTAAATGCATTTCAGCTTCTAACATTGCTTGCAAGAACGTTGAGATATCTACAAACAAAATATCTTCCCGTAATGGTACTTATATGGGCAAAGCTAAAGATATCCTTGTAATAGGCCGTGGAGGTCCATAGGATTATGAGACGTCAAGGCTCACGTTTTCTGGACAATTGCCTCACAGATGGCCGTGAGATTATTAGCTTTACGGTATGGCAGCCCATTGACCCCAGTAAGAATCCTGGTACTCGTTTCTATTAGATGCTGAGTTGACCCCAGGACCATAGTGTGACAGGAAGGATTAGGTAAATTGAAAATACAATGATCTTATAGGGAATTAAACCCGAGACCTTTCGGCTTATAGCATAATGCCTCAACCAACTACGTTACAGCGTGCCCCTTACTTACGAGGATACTTTATTATTAAAATATTAATTGTATTCAGCATAATTATATAGGGGGCATGCGGTAGCGTAGTTGGTTGAGGCACTATGTTACAAACCGGAATATCGCGGGTTAGATTCCCGATAAGACCATTGGATTTTCAATTGACCTAATTCTTCCAGCTACACTATGGCCCTGGGGTCAACTCAGCCTCTAACAGAAACGAGAAACTGGAAACTTTCTGGTGGTAACGGGCGGCCACAACCTAAGACTGATAAGTCCCGATGTGGTGGATTTTTCAATTGACCTAATCCTCCCAGCCGCACCATGGCCCTGGGGTCGACTCAGTCTCCAACAGAAATTAGTACCAGGAATCATCCTTGGTGGGGGGGGGCCGGCGAGTAAGGTGACAACATTACCGTTATCTATAATCCAACTGTCTAGAGAAAATGTGGGAACCTCGACGCCTCACAATACTATGGGCCTTCACGGCCTGTTACAGGGGTAGGTTTTAAATAATTGTATACATTTTCTCACAGCATAATGTTTAACATGTTTGCAGCAATGTAACAACTAGCGTTGTTATTTTAATGATACAAGTTGCCTTTCTTAACTTCGGTTTGTGTGTATTGTATGTATTCGTTTCTTTCTCTTACTCAATCTTAAATTATTACTGGCCTTCAGGTTGTTCAGTGAACACAGTTTTATAAGGAATTAAGAGTAAAATTAACCATCTATAAAGGAATACAGCAGCATTAAGTTATAAACCAGAAATGGGAACATAAATATAGTTGTATTTATCTTCTTATATTTTAAATTATATTTACTTTGTTTTCATTTCAGTCATAAATTACTCATACTCGTAATTCTGCGCTACAACCAGAGAAGCCTTCACCATAACCAAATTCAGGTATTCAGTAGAGGTATTAAATACACGCTCTATTTAAATTCAATAGTGATAGTGGTTTTGAAAGCCATAAATATATGTATTTTAACGTAAGATTTATATTACATATAAATATTTTTACGATAACGTGGTTGGCAGTAGTCTGTTAAGTTACAGGATTATACGTGTATTTTGAAACAACATTTCGGGAGGAAATATAATTTATAACTGTCCTCTTAGAGCCCCTACGTTGGGCTCAACTTAATTCTTTGTAACCGTCCCTCCTACCTTCCGCCTGCGGCTCCGTCTGAAGAGTATTGCAGGGAGCGGGAGTCGATGGCGATCGGCCCTTCTGCTCCGATGACCACTTTGACGCTGCCCTACCTGGTGTTGCCACTGCTGAAGTTGTTAGGTCGTAGCTGGTTTTGGCTTTACCCGGCTCCACCGCTTCTTCTGGCTCCACCGCTTCTTCCTTCCGTCGAGATTATTGGGGGTTGAATTTCATGATTTGATCTGATAGTGTGGGCGCCAGGAAACAGATAGAGTCTATTTACGATCATAGTAAGTGGGGGGGAAGGAGTGAGCATGTGAAAGCTGACGGTGGGGTTGTATGGACAGTGGAGACGAGTCTCTCTTCAGGTCGGATACGGGTCAGGCTCGGACAAGTGAGGGTGAAGCACCTCTAATTAACACAATTCACTGTACCACCACAACCCTTTATTGCTGTTCTTAAAGGCACTCGGCTGCGTAAATGCTCACAATCTGATTTAGTTTTGGCTTAGAAGCAGCTGGTGTTACACTTACACAAAAATGCACTCGATCAGCTCCCCAAATTCCTTGGTGCCGCGCTCTTGATGATTAAGTTAAATCTCAATATGAGTCGTTATGAGAGCAAAATTTTGTACTTCTTAGAATTATCTTTTAGCGCGTGTGATGCGGGGTTTGCCTCCGCCAAGTTCAAAAGTTGATAGAGTACTAAACTCTGAGACTGAACTCTCTGCCGAGCCAGAGGTCCTAACTGAGCTGTATCTGCCTATTCTCCTCTCCTCCTAATTTCTCTGATAGGCTGATTAAAATAAGGGGAGTTGGCCAATGCCAGATTATTTTAAGGGAATTTCGCCCTAAAAGACGAAACGGCGAAATTGACAGCGATGCAACTTATGAGGGGTCGCTAATGATCTCCTGGCACTCCCACTTTTGACTTACGGCTGGTAGGGACTGTCACTTCTCGAATTCCCAAAGTGGCTTGCCCCTGTAAGTCTAATTCTCAATTTCTAAAGAAACTCAGTGGGGTTTCTTGAAGTATAATTTTCTACCCTTTTGGAAAACAACACCAGATGCTTGGACGCAAGGACTAGCAGATGTCCTTGTCCGCGCAAATTTGGTCTATCTGCTCATCGTCGATTCCTTGTTCTTACTGTGTGTCTTAAACCTTTGTTTCTTCATAAATTCCTATTATTAACTCTACTAGCTACTGAAAAAAGGGGGGAGGAAAGGATTTCAATGGCGCGGTTACAAATTGTACTTTTATAGGTGTTGTAGAGAAATCGAGGAGGCCTCGTTTTATACAGAGTCATTGTTTCCTGACGATGCGAAGGTTGCAATTTCCCGATCACTGAGTTGGAGTAGTCGAGAAACTTGCAACGGCACGACAACCACATAAAATGAAAATTTATCAATAGTTTTATAATGAATGCAAAGTGCATTGGTATATGTAAATATACTTTTTATTAAAAACTAAATTTGTAAGAAATATTCTTATTCTGAGTGTAGTCTGGCACAATCATGGATGCTTAGTTATGTATTAATGTTAAAACAAATCATATAAAACACACACACACACACACAGTTATTATTAAATTATTTTTTTTTGGTGTCTCCACCTTATCGTGGTGAGGGGGTTTGAGTATGCCAAGGACCCTGAGAGCTATACCAGCGGTAGCGTAGCTACTGGCAGGTCAAAGGGTAGGCATCAGACGAAGAGAGACACCAAAAACTGATGCCGGAAGCAGCGTCATCAGCAGCGACTTGAAGCACAGAGCAAATGATGCTCGAGATGGTTCAAGTTCGTATAGCAACAGGCGTGACCAGAGTGGTTTGAACGGCTGCTGTACTGCGATGTGGAAAGCAAATGGAAAAACTACCACATTATCACTTTTCCTGGATAGTCTCTTTCCAAAAACAGAAGATCGCATTAAGTGGAGGAACTGTTTTGGAAGAGACTGTGGACCTGTCGTCTGACAGATTACTGATGAATGAATGAAAACACACAGTTATATTAAATTATTTTTATATTCACGAACATATTTTTAACCCTTTCCATGTGACTGGCTTGCTGGAAATCTGGAACAATTGTAGATTGCTAAGTTTATAAAATAATGTTAAACTAAACAATATAAAATATAGCGAGTTTAATAGATAACAAACATTAGATATGGGATATAAACCTATAACCGCCCTCCTACTTACTAGGATCCAGACTGTCTTTTCAACATTAAGAATACTAGTATGTGCCCGCCTGAAGTAAATGAGTTAACTTTACTGAATTCTAACCCTATTTCTCGCCTAATTTTATCGCGTAAGAGATGCAGCGTCTTTACATAAGCATGTGTGGCAAGATTCATGTAATCTACAGTGCTCAAATGACACAAATATTTAGCTTTAGTTTGCCAGAGAGGCGGCGGGCGACATATGTTTGCTTCTTCAATTTATTCTTAATCTGGCAAATCGAAGGCTTCACGCTGGAAATCCACACGCGATTACAAGTTTAACAGATTGGATATAGAGTTATTTCTGCTCACACTCGTCTTTTAGCAACTACTACTAGAGCAGAACACAAGATTTTTTTTTTTGTATTAAAAGCTTATTCAGGACAAGGGACATTTTATTCACAAGATTTTAGAGATTGAGAAAGGAGTAATTACATTAAAATCTTTGCAAATATTGTACAAATAATTAGTTTTTAGTATAATATTATAAAAACTGCTTCAAATATATTACTTTATAAGCAGAATTCTGTGAAAAGTTTAGTGACGCTCATATCACCTACATATTCCAGTATTTATAATAAAGTTTTCACCAGACGATTCGCGTGCAAGACATGAAATCGAATTTTTTATCGGCACGCGAATACATTTGTATTGCCTAATTAAAAATGTAATCTGGAAATAACAAAATTGGTGGTTAGTTTCGGGGTAACATTCTTTAAGAGACTATGTTCACAGAGTTTTCCTTTAAACATCAGATTTTAACGTTTTATAACGCTAATAGGAGCAAAGAAAATCCACGATTTTATCATGACATTTCTTCTCAGCTACATGTCTTGGCGTGAAACCGAATTTGTCACTACCAGAAATGTTTGCCCCGAACTTGACATGAATCTCTGTTATCTCCAGATGACCTTTTTGAGCTGCCCAGTGTAAAGGCGTCCTCATGACCGTACTAGTAGACGCCTCGGGATCTGCTCCATTTTCTAATAGAAGTCTAATGATTTCGACACTTCCACAAAGACATGCTGCATGGAGGCATGTCCTGCTGTCGTCTCCAGTTACCCTGATATTAACATCAGCACCTCTCTTCAGGAGTATTTTTGCCATTATAAGATTCTCTGCCCGGCAACGTTTAGTAATGGCGTACATCCTACTGCCTTGGTGACGTTTACAGATATTCCACTATCAATCAACCACTGCAAGACATTATCACTACCGTAACTTGCTGCAATATGAATGGGATAGTCACATTTGTTATTGGCGGTTGGCGCTAGAATGCTTCCTCCGTGAGATAGCATTATCTTTAGAAAATCTAGTTCATCTCCCTTTGCTGCTAAGTGGAGAGGATTAAAATATTCTTTGGTCTCAGCTTGCAGATCTGCCTTCCAAGCTAACAGAAGGATACCTATATCAATACTTTTTTTAAGGACTGCGTAATGGAGTGGAGACAGAAGATTGTTATCTTTAGAATTAACGTCTGCACCTTCACGTATTAAGAGGAAAGCCACATTCCGACTGTCACAGATTGTTGCGTGGTGAAGTGGTGTCATGCCATCTTTGCATCTGACTTCTATGGATTCACCACATTCAAGCAACCATAATGCAGCGTCTTCCGAGTCGTACTTCGCAGCTGTGATGATCAAAGGTTCAAAAGAATTTGTTTCGTTACGTACCTTCTTATCTTCTTCAAAATTACGTAGCCGTTTGAGGCAATGTACATGATCGTTTTTCGTTGCATAATGCGCAGGAGTATATTTGTAACAGTCTTGGGCCTCTACATCCGCTCCCAAGTCTAGTACCGTCTGCATTATACTAAGGTTTCCGCTAGAAGCTGCTACATGCAGAAACGTGCTGTGTTCTGAATTAATGTACATGTTCACCTGCAAAAGAATTTGGTTTCAAAGTAAATACTATCAAATGTAGGAAACAAATTTCATTCGAGTATATATATATTCCAAATGCGATCTTGCTAATTTTCTTACTTATTTGCCTTTATTTTAATCGATTTAACACAAAAATTTACCATTGCAAGGCTAACAGTATCATAGATATTACATCAGTTAGATTTAGGAATTTCCCATATAATAGTTTAAATATTCGTAGTACGAAATCATTTCACATATGTAATAGATTTTAATTAAAACTGTGTTTTCTGTACTGCACAATTCTGGTTTAGCTTTCAGTTAATACCATCAATACTGAATGTGACAGAAGTAAGGGTAAAGGTAAAGCTATTCCTCTAATAGGCTATGGAGGTCCATAGACATCAAGGCTCTCACATTGTCTAGAAAATCGGCTGCAGTTGGCGGTGAGGTCAAACTTTACGCGCCGGCCACCCTTTACCCCCCCAGGAAGATTCGTAGTACTCATTTCTGCTAGAGGCCGAGTCGACTCCAGGGTCATAGTGAGGCTGAAAGATGAAGTTAATTGAAAAATTCAATTATCTTTTCGGGAATCGAACCCGCAATCTTCCGGCTTGTAGCGTAGTGCCTCAATCAACTACGCTACCCCGTGCCCCAAAATTTTACAGAAATATGTTCCATAATTCTGAAGCTAAAGCAAAGCCGAATAAAGTGAACTGATTATTATCATATGATTTATACTTTTAAGAACGCATTATAAACCTCAGCATATGAATAAAAATGTTATAAAGCTAAAATATGAAGCAAAGAAATCCTATATCTATATGTTATAAATTATAAGGGAATGTTAAAAAAAACGTGGTGTCTGAGACCACAGAAGTACGCAGAATATAATTTCACAATATTATTAGAAGAATAAATTAGTAAATTTAAGTCAGTATGCTGGAAGAAAAGCTTAATAACTTGTACACTCCTCCAAGTATAATTAGAATGATCAAATCAAGGAGGATGAGGTGGGCAGGGCATGTAGCACGAATGGGGAAGAAGATGAATGCATATAGGTTATTGGTGGAAGTCAGAAGGAAAGAGACCACTGAGAAGGTCAAGGCGTAGGTGGGTGGACAATATTAAAATGAATCTTAGAGATACAGGATGGGAAGGTATGGACTGGATTGATCTGACTCAGGATAGGGACCAGTGGAGGGCTCTTGTGAACACGGTAATGAACCTGCGGATTTGGCTTGTCCTCTTGAAGGACTCAGTTCCATAAGTAAGTAAGTAAGTAAGTAAGTAAGTAAGTAAGTAAGTAAGTAAGTAAGTAATGTTGGATGAAAATATGAATAAAATAAAGCAGAATACAGACCACTATTCATAATGTTATATTTTAGCGTCCTGTTGCACCGATTTTCACCCATTATATGTATAGAGTGGCCGTCTTGATAACTCAATCAATACGAAGACACACACACATTCAACATTACAACACTCGCAGCTAAGAAGGAAACACATATCACAAGACGCGGTTTACACAGAAAATAAGAAAAACGACCCCGTAGTGAACGAACCACATGCAAGTTTTAATTAAGACAAATAAGATGAATTATCTTAACAAGTTTTAGCGAGTGTAAATTTATCATAATTGACAAATACGGACTTTTTAAATACTTTTTAAATGGTGTTGTGAAAATGTATGAGGGCAAGCAATGCAATAGATTGACGTAATTGGGTCACCTGATGTTGCCGAAACATGTTGTGAAGTGACAGGTGAAATTGAGTGCACTACAAGACGGCCACTGTACACATATCATGGATGAGAGTACAGACATTTTAAATGCAGGAGACTACTTGGTAGAGAAGCAAACGTGGATAAATCTAGACGAATAGCAGTAACGAGGAAGCGATATGTGCAATATGGCCGCTGTTATACCTGACAATACATTTGAAAATATTTGGTATTTATGTATATACTTGAGTACCATGTAGAAAAGAAGTGTCAGTTAAAATAGTGGATTAGATAAAGCACTGACGTTCCAAAATATCTAACGTTGAGATATGTGTATAATAAAATAATAAGTTTGTCGTTAGTAAGATTTGAGGTTTTCACGGCACTATTCTGCCGTGTTCTGGGATGCGGCGCCGTGTAGATATTTTGTTAACCGACATTTCGGAGGAACGTATCGCCTCCATTTTCAAGGTGTAAGAAATCCGCGAACGATGAACCAGCGTGAGCAGGTGTCTGTAGACACCTGTAGTCGTCGGTTAACAAAATATATACACGGCCTACATCCCAGAAGACGGCATTCCTCTTTGTTGTTAGTGTTGTAAGGATGGGAATAGTGGTCTTATACTCCAAGGGAAGACTTTATATATTACTACAATATTATTTCACAGAAAAAGTACTTTGTAATATACTTGGGCGTCTGAGGGATGAAGTAAGGGGTTAGTTTGGCCGCGCCATAGCTCAAGCGGTTAGTCGCTGGCTTCCCACCGCGGCGGCCAGGGCTCGATACCGGGTCTGGTCAAGTGGGATTTGTGGTGGACAAAGTGGTGTAGGGGCGGGTTTTCTCCGAGTACTTCGGTTTCCCTTGCCAATCTTCATTCCACCCAATTCTCCATCATCAGAATCACATAATCACTGGCCTACGATAGGCCAGTCAGTGGCCGCCGTGCCGAGTGGACCCAGTTTGACTCTACCCCTCGCTAAGCGAATTAAAAAAAGGGTTAGTCCTACACTTTTGTAGCAAGAACTTGACAACTTACACAGACCCGCTCTTATTTCTTACAATAGGCTGGGATTTTACGAGTAGGTTCCCAGCAGGGGAAGAAGTTCCAGACCAACTCTGGGGCTCTAGTCGCTGGCTTCCCACCGCGGCAGCCCGGGTTCGATCCCGGGTCTGGTCAAGTGGGATTTTTGGTGGACAAAGTGGCTCTGGGCCGGTCACGGTAGCCGAGCGGTCTAAGGCATGTACTGTTTTCGCTCGTTTGGAAACCGGGTTCGTGGTTTCGAATCCCACTCAGGGCGTGGATATTTAGTTTGTGTGTGTGCGTTTTTCTGTGTTTGTGTACAGGTACAGGCCTTGCGAGAGCTGATCACCCGCCAAAGGAGTCCTACCGAAAGTAGAAAAACCGAAGTGAACGGAGAAGTTCATGGAGGTAGGCCTAGGCCCACTGGGGATGTAGTGCCAAGGAAAAAAAAGTGGCTCTGGGGCAGGTTTTCTCCGAGTACTTCGGTTCCCCTGCCAATCTTCATTCCACCAATTGCTCCACAATCACCCTCACCTATCATCTGGGGCTGGTACAATAGGCCAGAAGTGGCCGCAGTACATGGGACTTAGTCCCACCTAACTAGCATTAAAGAAAACTCTGGGGCCCAATAACCTTCTTACCCAATGACTATTGGAGGCAATTTCTCCAGGAATAAACTGTTTGGGGCGAGAAGCTAATCCTTTACCTTCATCTAGTGCCTAGGTTCAGAATGGGTGGAATTATACCACATTTTCCCATACAATTTTATGGCGTGATTCTTAATTAATTAAGCACGGGTCAACGGCACTTTGCAGTTTACTTGAGAGACAAATCTCTTTAGGAGTTTTTGTTGTGTTTCTAAAAAGAACTGGCTCAGAATGGCACATGTGGAATCTTCGAGTAACCTAATTTACCTGCGCTCCTCTTTTGAGAAGAAAATTTGCGGTTTCCGTCTGCCCCTTAACAGCAGCCAGATGCAGAGGTGTGAAACCGAAATTATTTGGGCAATCCACTGCTATTCCGTTGTCAAGAAACCATTCGACCAGAGTAACATGACCGCCTCCAGCAGCAAGATGAATTGGTTGGTATCCACAATTGTCATTCGTCCGAACTGACAATTTGGCTCCATAGGTCTCCATAATTTTCAAACTCTGCAGATTTCCGTATGCTGTCGCCCAGTGAACAGGAGTCTGATTACAGCTGCAGAAAAGCTCTGGACTAGCACCAAACTCCAATAAAGTCCTGACGACGTCTTGCTTGTCCGAACTTACTGCTAAATGCAAAGGAGTGGCATTGTTGAAGCAGCTTGTCCTACAATTGACATTGGCTCCTTTTTTCGCAATAATCTGTACCAAATTCGTATATCCATACCACGTAGCATAGACTAGTGGAGTTATGCCCTTCTTATTTACTGTGTCCACAGACACTCCATTATCTATCAGCCATCGAGTAACTTCCTCGTGACCATGTATAACAGCCAAGTGAATTGGTGAGTTTCCTTCTTCAGATCCATCTTTAGTTGTGAGACTACCGCCATAATTACTTAAGCATTTCAGACATTCTAGCTTTCCCAGTTTCGCTGCACAGTGAATGGGTGTTTCTTTATTCAATCCTGTTCTTATTTCCACATTACTCCCATTTTTTATTAACTGAGGTATATTTCCTGGCTCTCCGTACAGCACTGCATCATGCAGTGGACTTTTATTTTCTCTGTTGTCGCCGACACAGATTTCACTTTCGAGATGATGTGACATAAGTTCGAATTCACTTCTCGGCGTTTTAGTTAATAATTTCCATGTCATCAGTGTAGACAGCGTGTTTCTCTCCATGTCTCAATATTCTGCAAACACGTTGGAGATCACAAAGAAAATCATGGCTGGAGAGTATTTTGTTTCGATGTTCTAAAGTCTCAGATGCACCTGGAAGGAAAGAGCTGCTGTATTATATCGTACGTCACCTACTTCTCTTTAACAAAGGGTGCTCCATGCACACACAAACGCACCAACTCTCACGTCCTGAAGCTAAGGGGAGTTATCTTTCAATACAGTAAGATCATAATGGTGCAGGATGACACTATGAGTGCACATGCACTGGTTGCAGGAGTACGAATTCTCTAGATAGGTGTGTCGAGAAACAGTAATATCTCTGTTGTATGCTATCTTCATTTTCATGAAGAATGCTTATTTCGAAGAGATTCTTGAAACTTCAGATTCATATCCATCTAGTTTTGGATGTTGTGATGGTATTGTGAATTCGCAAAGAGGTTACTGTAATAAATTATCTATTCAACCCATTAAATCGGTCCCTAATTTTGGGCGCTATTAGTTGCGGACATGAAATAAAATGTAAGATTTGAGGCTTTCACGGCAGTGACTATGAAGAAAGCAGTCTTCTGGGATTTGGAACTGTGTATATGTGGTGTTAANGAAATAAAATGTTTTCGGATTCCTCAAATTTACTTAAATGTTACAAATAAGACCCAGTAGAGGACAAAAATTATGAAATGAAAATGAAAACGTAAATCTATATCTATATATGAAGAAAAAATTACGCTAATTTGCCTACGTTTATCAAACAATATACAACAAAAACGACAATGACGGTGACTGCAACGCCGTTTTAAATTTCAAATACTTTCACGAAGTTATCTAATGTCATAAGTACAATAATATGTTGTGACGCATCTATGAGTTAATTATTCAACCTGTTTTACCTTAATTACAGACGATTTACAAACAAAAATGATAAGTGAATGACTAGGGGGTATTTGGAAGTTTGCAGTTTTATGTTTTCTCTTAGTGGGTTATTTTACGACCGTCAGTACTGCTGACCTTCGAGTTCCTGCTCCGTATAGCAGAGAGTTTTCTAGGACTACGTTCAATGTCTGCTCTTCAAGTAAACATTTTCTTTCTGCTAGATACGCTTAAGCTGCAATATTGCTAATAGTAATGTTGACATAATTGGGATCAAAACAGTTTCTCGTAATCCTATTTTAAATTGACATAGTAATTGGGATCAAAACAATTTTTCATAATCATATTTTAAATGATATATTTGGGATCAGAACAGATTTTCACAATAATTATTTTAAATTGATATAATTTGGAGAAAACTGTTTTCCATAATCATATTTTAAATTGAAATTAACTGCGATCAAAATAGTTTTTCATAATCGAATTTTAAATTTATATTTTTATTTATTACACTACTAATTTTACTCAGTATGAATGTATTATTTTTCTTATTGCTAGTGGGGTGGGACTAAGTCCCTTGTACTGAGGCCAATTCTGGTCTATTGTACCAGCCCCAGATGATAGGTGAGGGTGATTGTGGAGCAGTTGGTGGAATGAAGATTGGCAGGGGAAAAATAAGTATTTTGAGAAAATCTCCAGCGCCACTTTGTCCACAACAAATCCCACTTGACCAGACCCGGGATCGAACCCGGCCGCCTCGGTGGGAAGCCAGCGACTAACCCCTTGAGCTATGGCGCGACCAGTATGAATGCATGTATGCCCACATATTTCTCAAGGTATATTGGTTGTTATGATCGTACTTATTACATATTTACAATTGTCTAAATGCAAAATTTGTCTTGTTATTTTTTTCCTGTTTATGTTTACGTGTTTCTTGTTTTCTTTGTTGCTCGTGCTTACTTTATAATCGACTTTGGAATGCTAAATAAGTACATTAACAAATTAAGTATTTAATTAAATTATTACGGAATATAGCGTTTTAGTGGGTGATAGTACTGCTCGTAATAGGGAGGTCTTCATTTCAAATCTCAGCTTGTAATTTTGTTATCTTGACTAAGGATTTTCGAGGTTTTCCACGGTGTTTGCAGGATCGTATTTCAAATTATGTCACAATTGCATCCCTACTCTTTCGATCCAATTGATTACTCACTCATCATATTATCATACCTCACTACACAGTCTGAGCTAATAACAGTCTCGTTAAAATACCATAAATTAGTAATATTACAATTATTTAATTGTCTTGCTTTGCATTTTATTTTTGTGTTTTTTTTTTTCTTTTTCTTCACTCTCTCTCACTTGGCAACTTGCCTTTGGCCTGTTAAGTTTCCACGTAATACATAAGATTTGAGTTGTTATTATTATTATTTTATTATTATTGTTATTCATGGCAGTACACCTAAATAATTGGATAGACCTAAATAATTATTGATAATTCTTACTAAATTTTTCTCCGAAATTTCTGCATAATGCAATATATTGTTCGGGTTTAAAAAACTACTCTCATTTCTTTATGCAGGCCTGCATATCTGCTCATACACTGCCTCATATCTCAATGTGCAAGTATTCCCACACTTACATTGGAGCTCTCTTGGCGTCTGGATACCAGCTAACGGGTATCGACACAGGTTAAAACAGCTGAAGGTCGTCTCACAACGCACACGATTACTTGCTTCCTGCTTGTGATACTGAATGTTGTGGGTTGAGACAGCCGCGGAGTACTATAGAGTTTTTCTACAAATTTGCAGGCGCGCAATGAAGTAGTTCCGAAATCAAACTGACAGTGCAATTCTCTGTATGGAATATAACTCTAAAAGGTCAAATAAACCAGAAAGCAGCACTTGACCGATCTATTCATTAAATAAAATTCTGTATTTAGTTTAATGGTGTTTAAATTTGACAAGCTCTTAGAAACTATATCGAAGGTGTAATGAAGAAATTTAAAGTGCAAGTATTTTCGTGAACAAAATATCCATCCAATCAAACAACCCCAAAGGGCCCTTGGTGAAATTAAGCAGATGTGGACCCTGTTTCGGTTGAAGGAATCTGGCAAACGCAGGCTGTATTATTAATGTTTACGGAATCCTCGAGTCTCCACCTTCTAGGCAAAGATTAATGTTATTAAAAATTCGGTGCTTGTAAGAAACCCAAGGTTTTATTAAATTGAGTTCCGAACCTCTTATAACCATTTTATATTTTTCGCATCTTATTTCTATAATTTTCACTGTTAATAGTGTAATGTATAGACCCATTGCTAGGCTCGGTAAACACATTCCCCAAGTTACGCTCTCAACAATAGAAGGAAAACCATTGTTACGTAAGGGAACACCAAACACGCATTCTTGAAAGCAGAAGCGGTGTTTTCTATGAGTCCACTTCGAGGCTATATAAGTAGTACAGAACAGAATCAAATCGAAACACCGGTGTGGACGCGGGGTCGAATACCTCCGTCGTGACCGTGAGAGTCAAAAGAGGCGACGAAAAGGGAAGTCTCAAATCTGAGACAGTAAAATACGATTGCAAGTATCAAGGGACTCGGACCCGAGAGAGACTGCGCTGGCAAGGACCAGCAGCATATACAAAAGACAGATCCGTCCTATCGTCAGAGAGGGCACCCCACAGAAACAAGACAGTAACTGTCAAACAGTAATAAATATCTGGTCACAAGCCCCACATTTGTGCTTTATACCAAGACAGACTGACCGATTGACCGTCGGTCGTAAAATGAGACTGAGACTCGGATTCAAATCAGAATGAGAACTGAAGGAGTACAACGGAGTACAACGGAGTTGAGATGGAAGTCAGAATATTCCCCTTGGAGGGTCCAGATGATAATGTGTCAGATAGGGATTTGTGAACTGTTGTAACGAGTTGTATAAAGGTCCAGTAAATTCGATCATCAAATCGAAAATCCGCCTTATTAGTCACGTAAACCACGGATACGTGACAGTATATTACTATATACACAGCGATTGCAAAAGTGGCTTCTTTTGGTGAAATATTTAAACAATATTATAAAAAGATAAAACAGTTCCGTCCAGTGTGACAGGTGAAGACGTTTCTTACTTCAATTATTCATGCCATTACATGTTTCGGTCCTTAGAGACCATCATCAGAAGGACATCGATACAGTTTGGAAACCACTATTACAATGAGTGTTCTGAGTGTTAAAAATATATATATACAATGCTGACAATACACAAATGGATAGAAAATCCAAAGTTTTCACAACTACAGCGGCAGTCTTGATATAATAATTTTTTTTTTATTTTGTTAGTTAAGTTAGAATTTATAAACCAAATAGGTTCGTGTCCTCTCTCTTATCACCTCTCCTGACGGGGTCGAACTTGTGCCGCCTGTCTTTCTTGAGAAGAAGGTTCTGCAAATATACCTTATTATGTTACTTTTTTAAAGGAGATTCTTTGTTTCGTCCTGCATTTGATGTCGTCCTGTGGTTGTTTGATGCGCGCTGTGTTGTTTTTACTGTTCTAGGGTGTGTAGTGCACGTATTTATACTTCTTGTGTCTGTGACGTTAGTGTGGGCGTGTACTGATGTTGTATTATGAGGTAGAACATGTTATGTTGGTTATTACTTTCCTTTGTGTGTTTTTGTTCTTCTAACAATTTGTTAAGCTTATTAAAGTGATATANTTTGGCTGATGCATACTTTATGGCAGCTTTGGCAGATAATTTTGTATATCCCACTTTGTTTATAACGGTTTGTTTCTCATTTTTCGTTAACTAGTTTATCTATTGTGTTGGCCGCGCCATAGCTCAAGCGTTTAGTCGCTGGCTTCCCATCGCGGTGGCCCGAGTTTCAATCCCGGGTCTGGTCAAGTGGGATTTGTAGTGGACAAAATGGCATTGGGTCCGGTTTCCTCCGAGTACTTCGGTTTCCCCTGACAATCTTCATTCTACCAATTGCTCCATAGTCACCCTCACCTATTATCTTGGGCTGGTGCAATAGGCCAGAAGTGGCCGAAGTACAAGGGACTTAGTCTCACCCCACTAGCAATAAAAATTACCTATTGTGTGAGTTATTTTGAAAGCTATCTTTATGTTGGTGTTCTTAAATAGTTTTGTGATTTTACGTATGTAATTTCCCCTATGGGTAAATGTGAGCTATTTTTGTTCTTTTCCGGCTCTATTATCCGGATTACTTTCATGTTTAAGTTTGTTGTGTAGTTGTATTATGTCTTCCTTCTATAGCCATTATTTAGTGCTATATTAATAACAGTATTTAACTCTTTGTTTTTAGCGTTTTCCTCGAGGGGTGTGTGAGAAATCTGGTTATCCAATTTTTGTAACTAACCCAACTTAGAATAAATAACGAACTAAAATACTTATGTATTAAGAAACAAAGTATCAACAATCAACTCTACAAACTACATCTAAGAAATGTACAATATTGGCAGACCAACTGGCCTCTAATAGAAAACGATGTAAATCAAAGATTAAATGAGGAATTAAAATACGCTATAATAAACATGAAAATAAAATCGATAATTTAACTAAACAACTACACGGAAGAATACACTCAACTAATAAACAAACATTTTTTCCGCGTTTGCGCTATACAACTCACTGAAAAGGAAGAAAATCTACTAAATAGAGGAAGCAAATATAATATGGGTATCTCACCAAAAATGTGTATAAAACAATTAGTCTACGAAACAGAAAACGAGATAAGACAGGTAAAAAACATACAGCAAATAGCGTCAAAACAAAACATAATAAACAAAGAATACAAAGAACAAACACACACAGCCAAATAAATGCAACAAAAACTAACACAACAGGAGCCGACAAAGGGAAAACATTGGTCATTATTTATGAACAAGATCTGAACGATAAAGTCTAATCTTTTATCGAAAATAATAACATCACCGAACTAAAAACAGACCCTATACAAAAATTTCAAAGAACAGTACAAAATGCTCTAAAACAACGTAAAAATACAATAGATCCAATAAAAAAAAAGCAGGCACTCCAAATGAACCCACAAGTACCCAAACTGAAAGCAAAAATTAAAATCCACAAACCAGAGGCCCTATCAGACCGGTTATAAACAAAACTAATTCACCCACATACAAGGTGTGGCAATAAAGAAACCGGATTACTTTTATGACTCATTTCCGGCCACGTCATTNAACACGAATACAACTTCATTAACACAGCACATTTTGCAGGAAAGGAAACTAAAACTAAATCCGGATCGTAAATTATTAACAATGGACATTAAGGACCTCTACGTTAATATCTCGATCAACTATACACTTCTTGTTACCAATAAACTACTCATGGATAACCACATGGACTAAAGCATTATAAAAGAAATCATTTCCATACTTAGGATGGTATTGAATCAAAACTATTTTCAGTAAAATGAAAAATATTACAAACCAAGATCTGGCGTAGCTATAAGCTCGTCCCTATCAAGTACTATGGCAGAAATCTTACTACGAGACCAAGAAAAAAACAGAATAAAAATCTACTGGAACATGAAAGAATTATATACTATAATAGATACGTAGATGACATCTTCATAATATATAATCAGACAAAAATAACCCCACAGCGCCTCCTCGAAAACTTCAATGGACAGCATAAAAACGTGCAATTCACAATAAATGAGGAAGAAAACCAAGTAGCCTACTTAGACTTAAACCTATTTAACAAACACGGACAAATAGAAATGGAAATATACAGAACACCCACAACGACAGACATAACAATAAATAATAACTCATGCAACCCTAAAGAACAAAAATTAGCAGCATACAAAAAGTGGATACACAGACTTCTCACACAACCCCTCGATGAAAACGCTAAAGACAAAGAGTTAAATACTGTTATTAATATAGCGCAAAATAATTGCTATAGAAGGAAGACATAATACAACTACATAACAAATTTAATAAAAGAAAAGTAATCCGGATAATAAAGCCGAAAAAGAACAAAAATGAGTCACGTTTACCCATACGGTAAATTACATATGGAAAATAAAGAACTATTAAAAAACACCAACATAAATATATCTTTCAAAACAACCCGCACAATAGGTAAACTAGTAAATGAAAAATGAGAAACAAACCGCTATGGACAAAGTGGGATATATAAAATAACATGCCAAAGCTGCCATAAAGTATACATCGGCCAAGATGGTAGAAATCTAACAACAAGGTACAAGGAACATAAGACTAAACAAAGACGAATCGGCATTTGACCAACAGATACTAAACAAACACCACCAGTATGGACCGATGACATTAATCATGGAAATGACTGAGAAAGCCAAAAAGTGAAACATCGTGGATATAAAAGATAACTTCCATATATATCGCTTTAATAAGCTCAACAAATTGATAGAAGAATAAAACTACACAAAAGGAAAGTAATAACCAACATAACATATTCGACCATATAATACAACATCAGTACACGCCCACACTAACGTCACAGACACAAGAAGTATAAATACGCGCGCTACACACCCTAGAACAGTAGAAACAACACAGCCCGCAACAAATAATCACAGAACGACAAATATAGGACGAAACAAAAAATCTCCTTTAAAAAAGTAACATAATAGGGTTGCTGAAATAATACAGTACCCATAATATATTTGCAGAACCTTCTTCTCAAGAAAGACAGGCGGCACAAATTCGAACCCCGTCAGGAGAGGTGATAAGAGAGAGGACACGGACGTGTTTGGTTTATA